TGCCAAAACGTATATGCCAGAAGGAGATGAAGCATCACACGTACACGTAAGTTTCCATCAGATTTTTCACACTGCCCTTTAGAATTTGATAGAAACTTGTAGGTAGCCAGTGACAGAAATCTCCATCAGTCTTGCCCATCAAATGATTTGTCAAATGATAGTCACTGTTCTTGCAGGGAAGTTCTGTGGGGAACGCTGGTGAATGATATTTTTACTATGGTGAGCCAGTTTTGCCAATCTGCTGTGTGAAATGAAATCTTTTTTGACACATCTCATCTTTATTTTCAAATCTCTAGCAAAAGTTTACTTCCTTCTATGTGCCACCGTGATCACTTTTCTCTGCTATATTAAGCAATTTTAATATATGTATTTCAACTTAATATTTGTTTAAAAATACCTTTACAAACCTCTTTTCGTTGCTAGCGTCAATTTTTGTTTTTTATTTTTACATTGGGCATTTCTCTTCTTCTTCGCAAATAATCGATAAAACTAGTCTAGACACCGAAAAGTTATCTGTTTAATCTGTGATTATTTTATAATTACAGATTACCGAGGGCGAATTTTATATGATTAAAAATAAACGATATTGTACGTTACTAATTATTTTCGTTTATTGCTTCAACAGTTCGGTACAATACAGAAAGAAAACGGCTCAGTTCACTTTGGCGATAATACACTAAAGTCGTTTAGTAATTACAGACGAAACAACAAACGAACGACACTATCGATAGTGGCAATAAAAGGCAAACCATCGATACTATAGATAGTGCCATCGATATTTTTCCAGCTCTACTGTTGATATCTAATTATAAACAATTTTTTTGGTAAATACACGTAATTCTTACAAAATTGTTTTTTAGTAAAGTTATAATAAAATGCCTATTGATGCACGAGAATTAATGGAGGCAATTTCTATAATTGCCAATCAGCGCAATGTACGAGTGACCGCGAAACAGGCTGGAAAAGGAGCTATGGGTATGTGTAGTATTTGGATGCTAATAAGGGATTTCATTATACTAGAAAAATTTGCGCCATAAATTTTTTGTTTTAGTTTGTGCAGCGAGTGCTTTTGCAGGGGGATTATTGCTTGGTCCTTTAGGTTTAGTTGTTGGTAGTACCGCCGGTGGCTTGATGGCATATAAAATGACTAGTGGTAAGTTGGAACTTTTCTTCGTATACCATGCGCTTAAATAAAGTTTAATTGTTAGATGAATCATATGTATAATTTAAGCACAATAAGCGCGTGCTGATAAGCTACCCAACTTTCTTAAATAAGTGGACTTTAATCTTTAATTTTTTTCTTGTTGAAGGCACCTTCCGACCGTTAGCTGATGTATTGTTAAATGATTTAACGGATCGACAACAAGAGCAGTTAGTGCGACATGTCAACAATGCAGTTGCTCAATTCGAAATATCCGATTTGGCACTATTGCTGCCGTTGATAATGAACAACGCAAGCATTCAACAAGCAGTTTTGAAGACGGCGATTTCGTTTGTATCAAATGAGCTAAACCTGCAAATAATCGACTGACCTTTAGGTATTATATGGGTTGCTAGGGAACATTTAACGCAATTGGGCACAATATTTCTAAAAAGCTGTTTGTATATAACATTACTTGCTTTTTATTCATGCGTATTGTTCTTAGTTTTTGTTTATGTTAATGTATTCAAAAGTTAAGACGCAAAAATATTAACGCGAACAGTAAGCATAAAGTAATTTTCATTTTTTATTAAAAGTAAGATTAAAATAAAGTGAGATTAAAATTAAAAGAACTTTTTTCATTCGAAAGAGAAATTTCTTATAATTATGTTTAAATTAACTGCAATTGTCTGAGAGTCTAAAGATTATAACGAGGAATTAAAAAATGGTCTTCCCCAAGAGCTTACAAGAGTAGAGTAACATTTAATTCAGGTTTTAACTTTTTTTATTAGCTACATATGTCTATATCTGCGTTTTATATGATATACATACATATACACAATTCAATACAGTTTTCAACAGTTACAAATTAGCAGTGGAGTTTTGAGTAAGAATAATTAGGTGTAAAAATATAATGGCTATGTTTATTGCAAGCTTAACCTACTCACATAGTATGCATGTATGAGTTTAATCTTAATATATATTTTTAATACATTATGTTAATCGATACCCTCCTTAAATACGCTTTAATCCCAATCGACATTGACCTGATCCCAATCGGAGACGAATGGTTGATCGATCATTTCAATCATTACACCACAAAAATAACAATCAGCAGCAATTATATTCTCGATTTCGGTTTTTATTTCAGCGCGTTGAATTTGCACAACTGCTGCGTCGTTATCCATTGGCATACTTTGAGTCAATAGTGTTTCCAGTTGTTGTTTAAGCGTGGCTAGTTGGTGGCTTTGATCTCTGCTTAATGTAGGTAAAATTTGTTTTTCTATACAATCACTATGAAATTTGTGACCACAGACAAAAACGAAGAATGGCTTTACCAAGAGAAATGTTTCGCAAAGGTTGCAAGTCTCTTGCGCGTTTATACGAATACTACGCGCACGACAATTTTGCAAGTCTTTGAGCACACGCATGGCTTGTTTGTCACACTCATCCATTTCGTGTTTAAGTTCAAGAATTTTTTGGTTGTAATCCTAGGTAATAAAAAAAATTAGATATAATTATAAATTAAACCTTCTAGATTCCTCACTCTTAGCGCTTCGCATATTGCTTCTTTGAAATCATCAATCTTTTCGAAATCGGAGAAAAAGGGCAGTAAATCTTC